TCAGAGCACGGGCAGTCGGGTTTGGAGTTTTGTTAAGGACCAAGTCAGACCATGGTCAGTCAGGTTTGGTGCTTTAACTACCAAGTCAAAGCATGACCAGTCAGGTTTGGTGCTTTGTTAAGGACAAAGTCAGACCATGGTCAGTCAGGTTTGGTGCTTTAACTACCAAGTCAGACCATGGCCAGTCAGGTTTGGTGCTTTAACTACCAAGTCAGACCATGGCCAGTCAGGTTTGGTGCTTTAACTACCAAGTCAGACCATGGCCAGTCAGGTTTGGTGCTTTAACTACCAAGTCAGACCATGGCCAGTCAGGTTTGGTGTTTTGTTAAGAACTATGTCAGAGCATGGCCAGTCAGGTTTGGTGCTTTGTTAAGGACTAAAGTCAGAGCACGGTCAGTCAGGTATGGTGCTTTAACTACCAAGTCAGAGCACGGGAAGTCAGGTTTGGAAATTTGTTGAGGAGTAAGTCAAAGCACGGTCAGTCAGGTTTGGTGCTGTAACTACCAAGTCAGAGCACGGACAGTCAGGTTTGGTGCTTTGTTAAGGACTAAGTCAGAGTATAGCCAGTCAGGTTTGGTGCTTTAACTACCAAGTCAGAGCACGGGCAGTCAGGTTTGGAGTTTTGTTAAGGACCAAGTCAGAGCATAGCCAGTCAGGTTTGGTGCTTTGTTAAAGACTAAGTCAGAGCATTGCCAGTCAGGTTTGGTGTTTTGTTAAGAACTAAGTCAGAGCATAGCCAGTCAGGTTTGGTGCTTTGTTAAGAACTAAGTCAGAGCACGGGCAGTAGTGAGTAAATGTAGAGAAAGATGTCCTATAAGGACATGGTGCATGACAAAGAAAATAAGTTTTCTTTTTAGCAATAAGACAGATGAGTACAATGCTGAGTTGTGCAAAGAAATTGATGAGACTGACACAGAGTCCCTCATTGTTGCTATAGAACATAGGAAAAGTTGCTCTGCCAATGAATATCACACCAAGTGTACGGACAACGGATGATTAATTTCTTACCTTTGTCAACTGTTATCAGGAATATCTTCTGTATAGAATTATTAATTTCCAATTTTTCAGTCGCGACTGCTTGTACTCCAAGTTCTATTTCACTACCATGTTCTGATATATTAATTTTCTCAGAGTCAGCCTCTGATAACAAAGTGCTCTCAACACTTTCATCCATACATTCTTCTAATGACTTTGCAGTGCCAGCTGTTGATGGTTGCAATAACGCAGCAAATGGGTTACTGGACAGGTCAATATTTGGATTTGGTAGTGGATAGGATGGATTCATATTGATATATCACATCTGCAATGTAACAACAAACAATATAATATTTAAATGTGACATTAGAATTTGTTTGTGAATGTTTGAATCACTCTGAGTTCAAACCACAGTAAATACATATTGAGTTTGGAGATTATATACATCATTTCAATTGTAGGTTTATGATAAAAGTATAGCATTTTATTCTTTCATTTCCCCTATGGCTATATTTTTTCTCTATTGGATACTTATATTTTGTAAATTGTTCAACTTCACTTATAAGGGATTTTCTCTCACACATGTATAGTTTATGTTTTAGCAAGAAATGTATTTCCCGCATTGCAGTCAAGACAGTTCAATGTTGATACATTGTTTCTAATTAATATGTAGATTACTTCTACAACAAAAGAGGTGTTACCACTGCAAAACCAAGTGAGATTTATTTTGTCTGAGATGACTGAACTTAATGTAAACATACTAATTAACTTATGATTACTACCTTATACTAAAATATGTTTGGATATTTAGAGTACTAACAAATTCCCACTTCCGATCTGGTTAGACTTCAAAATATACCACGAATACATGTATTTACTTTTGCGATATAATTTTTGGTATGTGTTGGTTCTTGAATATTTCAGCTTCGTCGTTCTGTACTTCATTTAGTAATTCGGACTTCCAAGATTGTGTAAGAACGAATAATTTCGTGATTTTGACACAGAAAATGCCTGGGCGAAATTATTTGCTGAGGGATGGCTGCTTAGATATGTGCATTCTAACTTGCGGCTCATAATGTTTGTGATGCAAAGTCCATTCTATAAATGGTCAAATGTTTTTTGGTTGAAGTAAGAAACTAGGGGGCACTGACAGAGCATGGGTCTTATTTACGAACTCCTGAGCAACTACACAAATCATAAGAACAAGTTAACAGCTCCTAAGGTTGGTATACCCAGATTAACACCAGTTGTTAATGTCACATAAAACATTAATTCTCAACTCTGATGGAAAGAACCAGCTAATGCAACAAATCCCTACTCACTGTAATAACTACTCACTATGAAAAGCCACTCACTGCGAAAGCCACTGCAAAGCTCATATTACTAACATCTGGTTCTCATTATCAGCAGTTAATTGCCTTCATTCTGTCCACTTATTTCTAGCTGTAAAAACTGTTTTATTTCATCGATTGATGAGATTCCCAAATTTGAAAATGATCAAATAAAAATTGTTTCAGTTATTGTGACCACAAGAAGAAGACAACTTTATTGAAATTTAATGATTATCTTGAAAATTAATCATAGAACACATAGATGCCAAAATCACATTTTTGCTAACAAAATGAATTCAAAATTGTAATATTCATTGTAATATTAAATGAAAGTCATTACATTCACCAAAACCAATGGCACATACTACTACAAGTATATACATGCACTGTAAAACATGTCTTTTTCGCTAATGACTTCATTATAAATTCAAAATGGCAGACAAACAACGCCTTTTTCTCCACACACACACTTTGCAAACAACACAGAAAACGTAATAATCTGAAGTGCTTCCTTATTACATTTGACGGTTTTTCTTTGTTTTTATGGAGGTGATAACTGCGCATTTGTTTTGGCAGGTGACAGATCAGTATTGTGAAAACAGGAAATTAACAAAGACAAGAGAGATTCGCTAAAACAACATTTCGCTATTACGTCATTTTACCATAATTCGCTAAGATAGTATGTCGCTTTTTTTAACACGTCTTACAGTATTACGGTAAGCTATCTGTTTTTTCAATAAATGTAAAAAAAGTATTTTTGCAAAATAAGAATGAATGGACGATTCTTATATCAGATAATCGCAAACTATGAACTCTCGAAAGCTGTGGTAGCATTAGCAAAAGTCATGAAGAGACTGACAATCAATTGATTAAGGTTATCATGTTTCTAATTTTCTGTTGGTTTCGCATATTAAGGAGTTTTATCAGCAAAATGTAGGACATTGTGTGGATACAGCAACTATCCCAAATTAATTATGTGATATACTGTAAAATCTGTATTAGAAGCTGCGGCTTCTATTAAAATGGTACAATGCAACAGAGGGTATGCGGCTTCAATTAGAGCATCTACACATATGAGAAAATGATGAATGCTTGGTACTCAATTGCTCAAAAAGAATGGGTGCGACTTATATTAGAGATGCGGCTTCTAATACAGATTTTACGG